CCATCCAATTTGCTTTGTTTTCACAAAGAAACTCCTCTTGCCCAAAGTGTTTGGTAATCATTTAACAAGTAGCGTTTACTCTTCTGATTCATATATTTGATTTGATAGTATTTTTTTTAAATCTGGGGTACATTATAAATTTTGCTTTTCCCAAGTGGTTATAGGTACAGTATACTATATATAGCAAATTTCTCAAAGAGCTTCTCTTTGTGATAGAAGGGTTGCCTATCAAGGACCTTGGTTAATCAACAAGGGACTGGAGACTGCTGGTTTCCATGAAGATCTGAATTGTCCATGGATTTTCCTCAGCCTACTCCAGTGCCACAGAAATCAGGAATGAGTATGATCCTGAGTATAATGTGGAACACCACTTAGTCATGTTCGGCAGCTGTGAATTAAACTCAGTCTGGTTCCCATGTACCTAGAACTACAAGGAGAGACACACACTCGCAGTCATCTACGCGACAAAGGGTAAAAGCTGATGTGTTGAAATGGCCAGTGTATAAGTCAAAACAGAATGAAGCAGATATCACAAATAAAACTCTGAGGACTTGAAGGTCCAAAGACATTAGGACCTTTAGCTGACACTGTCTACACTGATGATCAACTTCCATTCTGCGCCTGCTTATGTGTTCCCTCTATGAGGGAAGTCCATGATAAACATTAGCAGAGTGTAGTTATGAATGAATTAGCTATAAATGAATTGCTGATGTTTATTACTTAAGGACCATCACATGAATGACAAAGTCAACATTTCAAGACAAGGATATAATCTTTAGTTTCCAACAGGGAACTTGAATTTAGACGACATTCATCTTTTATTTAATTACTTGTTCTAGTAATTAAAATTTAATCTAAAAAAATTCCCAGAAACTTATGCTTAGTGTAATTTTACTGTAGTATTTAAACTGATAAAAATACTCTCTTTAAAATAGTAATTAGTTTTTTGATGTGAAATGGATTCAAAATACATAAATATATTCAAAATATATTTTAAATTTAAACTTATCTTTTAAGATATATCTGACATACAGAGGCACAAGCCATTCTCGAGATGAAAAATTAGGCTTTCCATGGCCAAAACCAGCCCCACACAGTTATTTATTAAATTAAGGTAATATAGATGTATACAATACATACATATTTAGGTTTATGGTATTAACATGTATCCTTAGAGACATGAAAATCAAGTCATAGATGTAATTTTAAACCTGAGAATTTTATAACAAAACATGTATTGAACTTCAACTTCAGAAAGCACAAGCATTAAATTAAAAATTTTAATTATAATTAAAATTTTCTAAAATTTCAATTTTTATTTACATTTGTTTTGAGCTCAGCTTACCAGAGATTTTATTGGTATGACACATATGTCCATGTTTCAGACAAGGCTTGACTATTCGATAATAATCTCTCCAAGGTCTTACTTATCAAGGAGAGCAAAGCTTGAAAAGTACAAGACTCTAATTTAAAATATAGCACATAATTCCAGGAAGTTTGTGGAGAAAATGAACAGTAATTCACACAGAGGCCCCAAAGACTCAATTTCTCCTCCCCCTCAATTACCTGCTCTAAAAGAACTGAGAAAATTTATCTACTGAATCAAGTTCTGCGTAATTAAGATGTTTATGAATTGGGCTCAGGGGAAAAATGAACAGCTTCTCTGTGCCATACAAACTATAATCTCTCACACAAGTGGCATTTTATTTCTTTATTTAATAAAAATATGAAGCTACATTTCTCTTCTTTTTCATAACTTTCTGATTCAGCTAGAGTACCTCAAACTTTGGATTATTCTGATGTTTAGTTTTCATAATATGGCCACACAAAGTAGGCAGCTCTTGTTTGCTAACATACTTTGGCATGTTTTGTACAGAAAGTAACTCAGGCCCAAGTTCTTTCTTATACTAATATCTAAATATAAAGCACTTATGATCAAATGATGTTCCCCATGTTTTGACATTATTAAAGCAAACCAAAAGCAATACAAAACACAGACTCACATCCCTCCAACATAAAAAGCATTCAAACAATGCCCAGTGTAAAACACACACTCACAACTTCCCAATATAAAAGCACATATATACAATTCCCCAATATAAAAACGCAATAACCTCCAGACACCCAAACATCTAATACCAAAAACAAAAACAAAAGCCTCAGACATTTATTATCAATAAGGCAAAATTTAGAAAGATAATTGATTTAATTTTATGAATTTTCAACAAACAACAGAAACAAATCCACACATTTATGGCACATTTAGGATTTATGTGCATGCTTAGATAGGCCCTCATACCATCCTTGTTAACAGAGGGGTACCAGTGCCCTCTACTCCAAAAACAATCACATAAAGGAATAATCACAAGATACATAAAACCATTTCTGGAAAGTGTTTCAACTATAACCTTATAGTTACCACACATTGTACACATTGTACACATTGTAGGCAATGGTTGATTACTACACTGTCTTAACCCTTTTCACACCAGAAAGCTTCTAGTCTCAAAATGTAGCAAACAAATTTCCCAATTAAGTTTCTAAGCAATAAACTATAATTTCTCTAACTATACTGGTTCACTGCCAATGCTACGTTACATTTTTATGTTAAAACCATCACCCAGAAAGATTTTAAAGAGGTGCTTTGTAGGTTATAAACTCAAACCTTCATCTCTCTCTTTCTTCCCCGACCCATTTCTCCTTGGTTCTGTAATGCTTTCCATCATTTAATGTAAAATCCAGGCTTCCAACCTGCGCTCTACGTTGTACAAGCTGGTCTGTACACATGTAGAAAAATCAAAGTTTGTGCTAAGTCAGATACTAGGTCTAACCCAAGGAGTTCTGCTTGAGCTGTTTTGTGTTCTGAATGTCACATACTGAATGTCACATTCTGTAGTCAAGTCCCTGATGGTCCCTGCGTGGTCCCCTTTTACCAGTTCTACTGCTCTGATACTGCAATTGGTCTGACTGAAAAGGTAAGAAATTAGAGAATCTACATCATATTTGTTATTCATAAAAATAGACCTTTTTCTTTCATATAATAAAAATAATTTCAGTGATACTAGAATTCTTCTCCCTTGAACAGAGTGAAAACCTACTAGAATTGTGGATTCTTCTGTGGTCCTTCATTGCTTAAATATAATATTTGAAATTAATATTTATTTCTAACAAGAATGATACTCCTAATACAGATAAACTGGAAAACATTATTCCTATTTATTTTGACTTTTCAGTGGTTTAATAAATAGAACACATTAATTCTGGTTAAGATCCATGAAGGTTCCTATTAAGCTATAGTTTTAAAAAATTGTTCTTGTCAAATTATAATCATAAAAAGAACTCTGTTTCGTCCTGATTATAAAACATGATTAGTATTGCCATGCTGACAGAGAAAACCATTTAAACACTCACCCTTTCTCATTTCACTAGCAAATTTGTTCAGTTAATATGTACTTGTGGTTTGTGCATAAAATTCTGCAGGCTATACTGCTAATAGGAGAAGCAATCCAAACTATAATTGGGCAGTTGGGCAGTTTCCTACACTTACACAAGCTCACACACCTACACAAGCTCACACACCTACACAAGCTCACACACCTACACAAGCAAGCTCACACACCTACACAAGCTCACACACCTACACAAGCAAGCTCACACACCTACACAAGCTCACACACCTACACAATCTTACACACCTACACAAGTTTACACACCTACACAAGCTTGCTTACACACATACACAAGCCTATACACCTACACAAGCTTACATACCTACATAAGCTTGCGTACACACCTACACAAGCTTAAATACTTACACAGGCTCACACACCTACAGAAGCTTAAATGAGGCTTGCTGATGAAAGATTAACAAGCATATGATCAGAAACCCTTCTGTGGCACAGTCAACCTCAGTGGGCTCTGCTGTAGACACTGACATGCGCTGTAGAACAGGAGCTGCTGAGGAAGATGACCTTCTTTCTACCAATGGCTGTTCTCCAAAGATGAAGAGTACAGATGGTGGAGGACCGAGGTATGACTATGATATGCCTGAAACCTCAAGACTTAGACAAACCTAGGTCTCATTTAGAGGGCAGGTTCTTTTTTTCTGTAGAATATTCTCTTTGGAAAATTCTACAAGTTGTACAAGTTGCTTATTGATACACACATACATGTATATGTATATATGCAAATATATGTGTGTATACATATATACATACTTATGAAAATTAAAGAAGAATAGAATAGATAGCAAAACTGCTACCATTTCATTAAAAGGGATATTGATATTGAATATTTTACTAAAAGGCATATTGTCACTGAATATTTTGGATAGGAACTTTTGCTTTTCAATCCAAAGCCCTTGGGAGAAATAATTTTCAAATGTAGTGATTTTTTTTCATTAGCTATATCAAAATTAAACATAGATTATTTATGTTAAACATTAAATCTTAATTAGTTTCTTTCAGCCACTAATAATTATCTTATACTACCAGTCAGAGCTTAGGAATTTGAACACATTTCTATCTTAAACTGAACAAATACAACTATAGACTATTTCTGCCACAACAGAGTAACTCAATGCATTCAAAATCCATATGTATATCATTTAAAAAAGTATTTCAGGACTAGAAGTCGGCCCAGGGGCAAAGGTAACATTGCTAGTCCTAGAAGATGAGTTTGATCCCTAAAATTTACATGGTTACAAAAAGAAAGTCAAACCTATCAAGCTATGTTCTTACTTACACATACACCATGAATAAATGGGATGTAATAAAAGTCTTTAAAGTATTACAGATTATTCATAGCACTTTTAATACCAATCAATACTGGTAAGGAGTGTGAACAAACAACAGCATTTTAAAATGTTTAATTTCACTTTTTAGATTATTTGATACAAAGACTTAACCTTTGCCATTTCTAAAAGCACCTGGCACAGTTGTAGACTCTGATTAATGCGACACTTCTAAGTTACACTGCTACAATTGCTACCAGACACTTACCAATAGAAAACTGGAGGACAGATGCTGTTGTTGTGTTCAGGCATGTGGTGGTCTAGAGAGAAAACATGCAAGAATTAGAGCAGGAAGACAAGAGAGAGACAAGCTTGGAAACAGCCACCCAGAGCAGCACTTCCCCAGCTCTTCGTCCATTTTCAGCCCAATGCCAGAGCACAGGCAGATTCCTTACTCCCTTTGGGGGAGATAACTGTGAGACTCCAACTTAAGCTTACACAATGAACTTCTCAAGAGTGCCATGGAAACAATTCTCCATTTCATCTTGCAAAGGCTTTTAGTAGAACTGCACACAGTGCATCACCTCTCTTATTACCAGCCTAAGAGCCTAAGAGAATCTTATAAAAAGGCAACAAGACAAAAATTGTAAGATAAGAGTAAACTTTTAGAAAAAGCAAATAGAGAGGCACTGATCTGATATAACTCAGGTTAAGGACACTAGGTAATCGGAAGCTGAGTCCAAGCTCAGGCCTCAGTTGATCCAAGGAAAGAATTTACTCTAACAAGTTGCCCTTCAACTTCATATCTACACTTTGGCATCTCCAACACTACATCCATACGCACAAAACAAATGCTTGTAAGCAGAAATTTTTTTTAAGTAAATAGAACTAAAACAGCTACTTTAAATGTCATAATCTTTGGGGAGTAATAAAAATATTCTAAAACCAATCATGATAATAACTATATAGTTTTGTAATTGAATTACAGAACATTTCTTAAAATGAGAGAGGGAGAGAAGAAGAGGAAGAGAGGAGGAAGAGCATGAAGAAAGGTGGGATAAAGAACGGGAGGGAGAGGGAGAGACATGAATAATAATATGCAAAAAGCCTCCTCCACACTTCTGTTAAATCTTAGTGTCATGAAGTGTCATTGGTAAATATCACTCGGGAAAGAGATATGACAGGGACAAATAGTGTGTAGTTATTTGTTCTTTGGAGTAGGCACACCTCCCTAATGAGACAAGAGTTATGTTCTCATTTAGCTGGGCTCCTGAGTCCCATATACTGAAGTCTGGAAGCCTCACAATATCCCACCCTTGGAAACAGCCACTCATTGAGTGATGCTCACCAAGGCAGCATAGCATGCTGTCTTACATCTATCTCTTTATGATCTGACACCTTTAAACAACACGTGAGTATAAAATCCAGTGGCGAGGCACCCAGGATAAGAGGGGTACCCTGAGACATTTCATAAGCCCTTTAGCCAGTGGAGAGGCAGCCAGGGTAAGAGGGGTGTCCTGAAACATTTCATAAGCCCTTTAGCCAGAGTCAGTACAAGCTCCTACTTTATGCCAGAAATAAATCACTGGCATAGACTGACAAAGGGAATTCTAGCTGGTTTTAGTCTGAATCTACCCACCATGCCCAGACCTCTGCTTTCTGTCTTCTTCCTTGCCCCAGAGATATCAGAGAAAAATGAACAATAATTTGAAAAGAAATGTTTTCCCCCCATAGCTTTTAAAGTAAGTTTAACTCTCTGCTCTCATGGATTTCCCCTTGGATAATTTCATATTAAAATCTAAAGGTATGCACAACCAACAGAGAAATTTTCTTTTAAATCCACATAAGTTGAATGATTTTATGTAACTGAATAGATTCCCAGATGAATCATAAAATAGTTTTCAAAGTGGATTCTTTGAAATAGTGGTATTACATAAATTAAAAGCACTGTGGTTATTGCTACTGCTAGTTCACAGAGCATCCTAGAGGGTCCTCCACAAGTTGTCCCTAGCTGATGTAATAACTGATATTGTTTCACATGTCTGATCAAGTCATACAGCTGTGACCTCTCCTGAGTAGCAAGTTAACGCAGGAAACACTGCCAAATTTCAAGGGTAACCGAGGTGACTGTAACTGTGGTTTCTTGTTAGTCATTGATTCTACATTTGTTTCTTCCAATGGGATGCTGAGGACTTCTGTGACATCTGATGCTCATCTCATTACTCTACCCATTCATATAAGTAAAACTATCAGCTACATAAAATAGTAGGAGGGACTTGAAGGTGAGTGAGGCTAATAAAGTGTTTGCTGTAGAAATGTGAGGACCCAGGTTCAGACCCATTTAGAAGTGTGGAGCTGAAGGGGCTAATCTGCAACCCAAAGCTGGACAGGTAGATCCAGCAGAGACAAGTAGATTTCTAGAGCTTACCAGCCAGCTCATTAAACGGAACTGGTGAACTCCAGATCAGTGACAGACCATAACTTAAAGTATAATGTAGAGAACAACGGAGGAAGTTAGCAAAACCTGACCTCTGGCCTCCACACATACATACACACATGGGGATGTGCACGCACATGGATGTGTGCACACACAAGCGCTAGAATAACAAAAAATAGGGAAGATGAACACAAAAAGAAAAGATATGAAATCCACTTGTCTATGTGTGTAATTGAGTTTTGATAATTATTACTCCTGAGTTCAAGCAGGTTTTTGACAAACAGTATAGTAATTATGAAGTCTTTTCTCTCACCATATCTCAGTGCTCTGAAACAACCAAGTAAGTTTCAAACTGTAGCAAACACAATGACAATTTAAATAAATCTGGATAACTCGCTATAGACTGAGGCCCTTCATTATGTCCTCCACCCTTGCAAATTTTCACTGAATGTAATAGACTTTTGGTCCAGTTTACCACTGTAACTAAAACATATCTCCAATTCTATGAGAAAAATTCTTTTTGCAAAGAAACAGCAGGAAGGGGACACAGCTCGGTGTTCGAATGCTTGCCCAGCTTGTTAGGCCCTGTGGATGATCCTACAGCACTGCAAATAAGACTTTATTTCAAAGAGAGGAGCATAACTCATTTCAAGTTCTGAGAACATATTTCTCTTTATCTTCCTTTTACACTAGCAAAATAGTGAAGCATCACCACCTTCATTATTAAAGTCTGGAAATTAAATAACTAACAAAATGTCAGAGGACCTCACAGAACTTGTGATGGTGAAGACAGATGCTCCTATAATGCATGTGTGGAATGGAACGATACAACAATCTAAGTCTGAAGAATACAGGCTTATCAGCAGGTCCTTTATATATTATCTTTTGCTCTCTCCTTTCAGTCCCATGAAGGAGGCCCTACTCTGTCCCAACTAACTCAATTTTACTCCTTTGGCTTGTTTTTTTTATTGATTTTAAAATTTCTTTTCTCCATATTCTTAAGTATCGGGAGCAAGGAGCTTTGCATGCAAACATTGTATAACAGGATCAAAATGGCTCCAGGAAGACCCACACCACCAGATCTGAGAGCATGATGACCAGAGGACATCCCATATAAAATTGTCAGCTACATTCTGCCATATCTTCTCCTGCAGGGTCCTGGAGCAATTGCCAGCAATTCTTAGAGCACTAGACATCTTGCCTGTGTCCTTGGCATTGAATCAAATGCTTTCCCTGATTTTCCATCATGTGTGTCTTTATTGTTGGGAAGATTCTTGGGGAGAGAAGCCTCACCTAGGCCTGGGAACTCTCAGATCAGACCTGCAGACTTAGACTTACAGATCAAAGGAGAAAGCCCTAACAGCCTAAGACTCTTAGCTGGATCATGAAAAACAAGCTGGTTTGTTGCTTAATAAGCAACGATTTGGGGCAGGCATCTTTCATCAGTTCTGAAGTACAACAGCAAAGACTGGATTCAGTGTTGAAGTTGCATGACAATGTTCAAATTTTAGTAAATATTTTAACTGATAGACTCCCTCACTTTTCATCTGATTGGACTGCTTTCTATGAACAGAACTTGGATACTATGCATACTTTGGTCTCTAGGAGAGTAATGCAATATAAGACTTACTGAAAACTAAATAGTTGTTATTGCTAAAACTGTCATAGCTAGGCATGGTGGCTCAGGCCTGTAATTCCAGTACCCAGGAGGCACAGGCAGGTGGATCTCTGAGTTTGGGGCCAACCTGGTTTACAAAATGAGTCCAGGACAGCCAGGGCTACATAGAAAAACCTTGTCTTGAAAATCCAAAACAAGCAAACAAGCAAACAAACAAAAAAACTATATCTCTTTAGCTCTACAAAACACATTTATTTTTGGGAAATACTTATGATGGGAATATACAACAACTGTATGCCACTCATATCTTAAAAGATTATTATTTAGACATTTTGAGACAAGGACTTGCTATATTGGTATCCCAGGCAGGCATCAACAACCCTCTGTCCTCTTTGCCTCATGCTGAGATTATATATTGCTATGTGAGTAAAGATTAATCTTATATAACAACTGAAAACTAAACAATTGGGATATCAAGTCTAATAATAAGCACACTGAGCTACAATTCATGTTGATGAAATAAAATAGATATTTCAGTTTTTACTTAACATGAAAATTTACAGAAATACAAATTCTGGCATTATATCACGAGATACTTTTATTTCCCATTGCTGATACTTTCAGAAATATTACTGAATGGAGCACTTCCTAAAATAGGCAGTAATTCTCAGCTCAATTAACTATGGTAAAATTAATTTTATTTTTTAAGGATTACAGATAATTAATTCAATCATGGTATATTATTTAAAGCATACTAGCAAATTTATTTTTTTCAGAAAGAATTTCACTACCAGAGTCATATTTGTCTGCAGGTATTAAAACACCTTGTGAGACTTGAATTATAAGCACCCATTATTTTAATTTGCATTTAATTAATTCTGTTTGTGATCTAGTTTCAATTGAAAACTCAATTCATCAATGTTCTGAACTGCATATCCTTAATAGGTTAAATATACCTATTGCCACAAAAGGGGTATTCAAGCAGAAAAAAGTAAGAACACATTGCAAAGTTAATTGGCTTCCACATTTTGATAAATAAATCTTTGAATTGCTTATAAAGGGGTTATCTCTTCACTATGGAAGCTAATCTTTGGACAACGTTTAAGTTAGAGACTTTGAAAGACAATGTGACACAGAGGTGAAAATACAATCCCTGCAGAGGTGGCTGTTGGCAGCAAAGAGCCTGTGTACCAGAAGTGCAGAGCATGCTAGAGGCAGAGCAACTGAGTCAGGATACCGCTTCTCTTATCCTCTGCAGGGATGTGAAATGAATACAGTCCTCATGTCAGAAAGGAGGATCAAGCCAAAGCAGCAAAGGCTCATCAACCATACACTGGTGGTTAGAAGTTGACTGTTTGTAATTTAGAATGCTCATTGCATGTATTAATTCCAGATCTCAAGCAATAGCTAGTGCCCTAAATGAAATGAGAGTAACTAGTCTGAGTCAATTGGCATGAATTACATTTAAAACAAGCTCAGTTATCAGTACATTCTCTAGAAAAACTATCCATCAAGGTTCATTTATTGTTAGGAAGTAAAGCTTTAAAGTAGTATAGTAAGAAACTCTCGACTTACAGAGAGACAATAATACTAACGATGATGAGATCAAGGCTTTATATACGAACTAGGAAGGTCACAATTTTTTCCAATGTGACATGGGGTATGTACATATGATATACATAATCATATGCATATTTTAATCCATCTAATTATAGTGATGAATCACATTTTGTAAGACACTCCAATGCTGCTGGTCTTATCACTGAGCTTATTACCTCTCCTAATTTTGAGATATCAAAATAGTGCAGATAACATTTTAAATTTTCATCTGAACTCTTAGAGAATAAAAGAAATGGTTGTTGACAAAATCTCATAAGGAGCATAATCAAACAATGGACACACTTACCAACTCTCGAGGGCCATATGGCTCACAGAAGGTGACAGCATTGCCATGCATGATAGTGCCACACTGTTCTCCAGTCTCACAGTTACTGCATTCAACCCTGTAGGAACACAGAATGCACTCTCAGTCTCAGGAGTAAGCAGTATACATTGGTTTCTTGCTCCCATAGTGACAGTTACTCAATTAATTGCTACTTCATGGGACAGTGATAGTACACTGGATTCTGACAAGATTCAGAAGAGGCACAAAGCCAGAAAGGCTTCAGTGTAAACCTTAGTTCTGTCAGTCATGTATAGTGGTGGGAAATTCTAATCTCCCAAAGTTTCAGTTTCCTCATGAATAAAATGAGGGTAGCATACAGACCCAAGTCTCGAACAGCTACTGTGACAATTAAATGAGACACTACCTGGAAACTGACAGTGTAGAAGCACTCCCATAATAGGCCTTAATAACTGAATATGGTATTACCAAGAGTTACATAGAAGAAACAGAAGCCCAATGGGCCCAATACAAGAACAGATTCAAGGGTTAAAAATAAACAAAGTACTCTCCTCTTATATAATGAACAGCTTATATAATTCTACATCTCTATAATGGAAATATGTCTCACAAATAGTTTGTGTTATGGGCAATATAAAAAATTTAAGTAGCTATTCTGAAGCACACTTACACATTCACATTCCACTACATTAAAAACAATGGAACCAGATGTAATCTACATATAATTAAGGAATATGCAGAGATTCTAATACAAGCAAATTTTGGATACTGACCCATGTTAACTTTGAATAGAATTTAATCCTCTGTTTATTTTATTATTGTAAACTGAGGTGGTTAATAAAAACAGAAGAGAAGATCAAAGGTTATTTTTTCATGTTTGTCTAGTAGAAACTGGACATATGCATACTCTGGATTTGGCTTTGGGTATGTTCAGTAATACGAATAATGTTCTTCCCTCTAACAATTCTTCCTGCATCATTACATATCTAACGTGTAGGAAGAAAGATCTGTATTTCCCTGTCTGGTCCTCAAACCACATGAGAGCTTTATTTGATGCAGAAAGAATATTTTCAAAGACCTTCACATTCCATGTGCCAAACACTGTGGAAAGGGCACTGTGCCCTTTGCTTGGCGGATCACTGTGTTATCCCTCTCTATTGTTTATGCTTTCATGGAGGGGCAGCAACTCCCTTCCAGACAGGAAGACAGAGTGTGAGGAGAGATCACAGGGGCCCTGAAGGCGAAGGGCAGAAGCACAGTGAGTATAAACTTGGCAGACAGCTCTAAGTACCCTCTTTCTCACTTTACCATCTAGGGCAAATGGCAGCTATCCTAGCCTTTTCAGCTGTGCCCACACTACAAGATCAGAGATGCCTACTATCTTTAATTTTTTTCAAAGAAACAGAAAAGAATTTCTAATAAGGATTTATGGTGTAGTTCACTGTATCATAAATCTTAGCAGGAAGCTGGAATCATTTCTTGATTACTATGATACAGGAGTATAACAAAATGTTCTTGATGTTAGAAGAAACACAGTAGCTTCGGAAGTGCAAAGAACCAAATTTGTACTCATTTTTGCATGTTTATTTACTATGCATAGTATTCATAAATACTGGTTGAATAAATAATTAAATGTACTTCAACTTTATAAGCAGAATTATTCTCAAGGCCTGAAGCCCTAAAAAAACCTCTCACGATACTGTCTGGCATGTACTATACATGAGTTATTACCTTATTATTATTACTATTAATATTATTAATATTATTTCGACTATTAATTTCTCATGAATTTCTACCCTTTTTGGCTGCTACACAAATGGTATATTTGATTCTCAACTCCATGATATAGAGTATATTATATGAATTGATATCTATTGTTTTTTTTAATTTTAAAAATGGAGTATAAAAGAAGCATAAAGAAGTAGATAAAAAATTTTATTGAGGGAGGGCTGAACAGATGACTCAGCAGTTGCGAACACCCACACAGTAGCTCACAATCATCTGTAACTCCAGTCCCAGGGGATCTGATGCTCTCTTCTGGAACACACATGGTGCATAGACATACATCCAGACAAAATATCCATTCATATAATTTTTAAAAACTATATTGGGATTTTTTCATTAGTAAGGAATTAATAGGCTATTAAATATTTATGATAGATGAGGATTATTTAAAATTTTTCATTATGAAATAGCTTGAGAGAAACATCAAACATTAAACTTGACAGAGGACAAAAAAGAATATTCAAAATTCATAATAGCTAACTACCAAGGACCAGCCTCAGCTTGGAGAGGGTTCCTGAGGAAGGGGTGTTTGGGAGCAGTGAAAAGAAGACTCAAAGCCAAATGATGGGGTACAAGCTTATAGTTTTATAGTCTCCTTGAGATGGCTCCCTAGACAGTGCTCTGTAGATAGCTCTTGGCTCTGTAGTTTGCTTGAGACAGGTCTCTTCTTGAGATAGCTGTCTGCTAGAGACTGGTCCCTCATGCTAGAAAAAAAAAAATTCTAAAAGCTCATGGGCTTTCCAACCAAAGTCAGAAAAACTGCTAGAAAAAAATTCTAAAAGAGCTATGTTTACTCTCCAAATTTCTCCAGACAGCTGAACACTTGCTAGAAAAAATTCTAAAAGATAATTGCTATAGCTTTCTGCTAGCTCATCTCATGAAGATAAAAACCCCAGTCTTTTATTTACATATCAATTCAGTTATTTACCTAGGTTCCCTTCTGATTATCCCATAAATTAGCATTTTATGACCTTAGCCTCTTGATTCTTAGAAAAAAGACAGCAAATACACTATTTTAAAAACAAAAAACAAACAACAACAAAAAACTTGTCAAATGAATTAGAGATCTGCCTGCCTTTGTAAGCACAGTCAATAAACTTAGCTGGGTAGGATTCTGTCCTGAGATAACCATTTTTACCATGCCTGGACCTAAATTCACTCTGTCCTAGGCTAACCTTGAATTCAGGAATCTGCCTGCTTTTGTAAGCACAAACAATAAACTTGACTAGGTGAGAACTTGCTCTGTGATCACCACTCCCCAAATCTCTTTATCTCATTCCTTAATATGTTTCTGACACGTTGGCTTATAGTAGTCCCTGTTCTTTTGGATCTGTAAAGCCCCTCATATAATTAATATTGCATCCTTATATTTTGCATAGTTGAGAAATTATACATTCTTGAACTCATGTTTTTAGGGTGCTTCCCCACAGCCTTAAGGGCTATCCTGAAGGTCATAGCAAGTACCACTTTCCTAAGGACATTAGACACACCCTTGCCCCTCAGACTTGTGCTGTCTTTGATTATCATGCAGTTAACCTTAGCAGAGAAGACACTCCCACAAAGGAAGAACATGAAGTAAAATATACAAACAAGCCTTAAGCCTAGCTACTGCCAATACTTGTGGAGGCCCATGCCCTGCTGGCCATGTTCCAGGAGTAGGAAATCATGTCAACAGTCTCTCTTCCACATGACCATGCAGGACTTTGAAGTATCTGCTACCAGCCTGTAGGACAGTGGTTCTCAACCTTCCTAATTCTATGACCCTTTAATACAGTTCTTCATACTATAGTGACCCCCAACAATAAAATTATTTTTATTGCTACTTTATAACTGTAATTTTGCTACTGTTATGAATTATAAATATATTATATTTCCAGTGGTCTTAGGCAACCCCTGTAAAAGGGTTATTTGACCCTCAAAGGGGGCTGTGACTCACAGGTTTAGAACCACTACTCTAAAACCACTTCATTAGAAATATTATTCATATGAATCTGAGGTTGGCTATTTGAATTTCTATAGTAACCATTTCAGCTATATATGTTCACCAGGAGCTCTCACTCAATCATACATAAGGAAAACAGTATGTGAATAAAGTATGCATTTCGGCCCTCCTCCTCTAAAATTTAGTTGAGTAGGTATGGGGCAGAATCTGCATATCAGTATATTGTTTAAAGGCAATGCCAGTGTAGAGAGCCTGATAGCCTGGAGTTAGAGAATCAGTGACTAGACAAGAGGCATGAAGTATGGTTGGAGGATCACTTCTACTTTACAGAATAGTGGGTGATAATAACATAAGTATAGGGGAAGAGGATGCACCAAGTATGTATACATATACATACATACATACATACATACATATACATACATATATGTATATCTGTGTATATGTATGGGTGTATATGTATATGTATGTATATGCATGTATATGTATGTATATGTATGTATGGATGTGTGTGTAAACACACACACACACACACACACACACACACACACACACACGGCATCCTACCCTGTTTAGACACTTCCAAGTTCCAGCTATCACTCACAGGGTTGCTGCCTGAAGGAACAAAGGCTTCCACAAGGATTGATGGGATAAATCAGTGGACTCTCTGTCAATGCTTTTAAATGCCCTTTACTTGAATTTTCTCAAAATCTGACTGTGTTTGTCAACATAGTTTATTTTAATTTACCCTTCGTGCCTATCCCTCAGGTGGTCAGGTCTAGCCCTTCTCTCAGCTGCCCCCGAGTGGTGTAGTTCACTTTCTTGTCATTTATTAATGTATTCTCTACCAGGTTAAGGATTTACAAGCATCTTGCTTACCTTTAGCAGTGCAATGGCTAACTGACACAATGCCTTTTCTTACAGCAGTTTGCATTCCATATGGAAAAGCAGAAGAGTAAACAGATTTAATAAATATAAGACACCCATTCAATGGTAGTAACTGCAGTGTTTAATGTAATTGAGTTCCCTAAAGTGTATTTAAAGGTTTCAAGCTCCCTTTTGGGGTGATAAAGGTTATTGTCTTTATTTTTACTAATAAGAAACATGACCTTCAGATAGGAAAGGCCATTCAAAGTTATGCAGCTATCAAGTTGAAGCATTACAATCTAAACTAAATGATTGTAACCTATTCCAGTTACTCTGTCCTTAATATAGCAAGATACATTTTTTGAAGTGGGACCAATTCAAAAGTAGGAAAGGAAGAGAAAAGTTTCTAAGAAAGGCAGCTGCTGACGTGGTTCTAAGTCAGAACTAGAAATTAAGTAAGCAAGAAGGTGAGGTCAATGTCTGTAGGGAATAGAATACACAGAAATTATGACCCACAAGTTCAACTTTTAGTTCAGTGGGTCAATATGGTTGGAATCAAACAGATACATATAGAAAAAGATGGCAAATTGCAGCCTTAGAAAGTTGAAACCCGGGTGATGTACAGGGATTGTACTAGGGAAATCTATAAACAAACCCTCAATCACATAAGACCATTGTCCTCATTCTTATTTAGAGATGCTAAAATTGAAACTTAGAAATATTATTCTTCAAGGTTGTACAACAACACATGTAAAGCCTGTTACCACAAAGGGCAAAAGAAGCCATCAGTCCACGATGAGGGAAATCAGATGGAACAGTACAAGAGACCCTCAGAGTTTCTCAGAAGAGAGTTATGATCCATGTCTGAATGACAAAGATGGATTTTAAAACTCTACAGATGCAAGTAACCATATAAACTCAAAGAGTAATTCCTGGCTAACTAAGGCTTTCAAAACAGCTCCTATGTGTTATATGTTTGTTCCTCCTAGCCTCCTCGCTTAAAAACGAACCCCTGAATGTCTGAAATTTTAATTCTTCTGTGGAGCAGTTTGAGTTTCCAAGAATTGGGGCTAAATTTGGTGACAAGTAGCCCAATGTTACAAAGGCTCAGAGAGGGAAAATGAAAGGTGCTGTTTTCTGTGACATTTGAATCTATGGCCTCATAGCTGGGTTTCTTCCTCTGATCTCCTTCTGAGGAAAATGATGGGCTTTGTAGAGTTAGGCAGAGTAGTCTTCCAGATGTGTGGGAAGGAGGAAGTTTTGCATAATCCCAGTTAAACAGGCTTTTGTTTCTTAATTTAAAAAGGAATGTGACCTCCCAGGCTAAGGATTAGAAATGAATTCTTTCTCTACCTAATGGCAAAACTATGGAATGTTTCTTTAAGAAATTCCTTCTCCTTTCCCTACTGCCCCAGCTTGGAAAAGTTGTACATATGAATTTAACAGACACCATGATGCATTATATAAACTGTTCACATCAAAATATGTTCCATAATGAACAACATGATTTAAACATATTTTAATGGAAATGCATGTAATTTTCAAAGATATTGTGAGACTAGAATTTATTAAATCTTCTCTGGGCCTATTTATTGCATGCTTAGGTTCCACAAGATTCTCTTCTATTACTGGAGTTCACAGATGATCCAGTTAAAGGGGACCTACAATGTCACTATATCTCATCACCCTGCATTTGATAAACAATAAAACAGGACTAGAATTCAGGTTTCCACAGTGGACCCTGAACCCAGCCAACAGGGGACAAGGCCTCCAGTTCTGTAAAAGGAATGTGTGTTGCAAAGAATGTTTGCCATTTTTACTGGCAGCATTTATTTTGAAATTGCTCTTAAAGTTATTGTTTCATTTATAAGATAAAGAGATTTAGTTTCACAAATAAAATCCTATAAAAATAAGGTAATGAAACGGATTTCATGGGAAAACACTGAGTTAGTTCACAGGGACTGGTGGGTGTAAGAATGAAGTTCTATGCAGCACCTTTGGCTGCTATCCTTGGATTACTAATCAAAATCTGTTTTATGTTTACACTTTCACTTCCTCCTCTCTACTCCCCCTTCTATCTTTTGCATTCAAAAATATGAAACAATCAATAAATATGAAGGCTATCCAACAAAACCATGCAGGTGTGAGCCGTGATAGGAGAGATGAAGATGCTCTTTGATTGGGTTTTGCTTTTATTGTAATCAACTCTGAGGCACCTTCTAAACTGGAGATTTTCTTCCTTCCTTCCCTTCCTTCCTTCCTTCCTTCCTCCTCTTCCTTCTCTTCCTTCCTTCCCTTCCTTCCTTCCTTCCCTTCCTTCCTTCCTTCCCTTCCTTCCTTCTTTCCTTTCTTCCTTCCTTTCTTTTTTTAAAATAAAGCAAAAACAAAAGTAATCTTTAAGTGTTTATGTTTTCATCTTGAAACAAAGAATTGTATATAATGTACACTTGGGTAGAGAGCACACCTCTAAAAGCATAATTATGTCATTTATTCTGATTTACAATCGTTAGGCATGACACACTCAGCCTGGTCAGCACACAGTAGAGTCAGGACTGCCATGTGCATCAGGAGACAGAGATCCACACACTGCTGTGACGGGAAGGACCTCTGGGACACAGGAAAGTGGGGGGTACTAATGAGAGAATTCGGCTTTTGTGCACAATTGCAGAATTATGAATGGTTGGTGCTGACATCATCCCAACAGTAACAAATAAGTAATTGGAATATCATTTCCTCAAGCCACCAAATGATGAATCATTCTTCTATCAGGTCAGAGCAAAAATGCTCAGCCTTTGGTCAGGCACTCCACTGGAATGAGTTAGTCACCTGGAAACTCACTGACAATCACTGATCATTAGATTCTCATTTGAGATACATGGTCTTTGTCCCCAAGGACATGGCACTATCTGTCCATAACTTATTACCTTTGAAGAGGTCAGTCAGCCCCACGAAGAAGCAGTCTGCCATTTAGTAAAGCAGAATTGTCT